CATACAATCCATTCTTCTCTCTCTCTCTTTCTCTCTTTTTTTTTTTTTTTTTGCTGAGTTGATATGTTAGAGGAAGAGTCCTTCCCCATTTCACTCGGACGCAATTCAACTTGTTTTTACGCCGAGTTGATATTTTAGGAAATATATCCTATTTGATTTCACTCGAACGCTATCTTTTGTCTATGCTTGCCGAGTTGATTGGTTGGGAAAGTGTTCCTTCTAAACTTTACTCGAACACTTGTTCATTTCATCTGACTTTATCCTATTTCTTTTAGGCGGCCACTCCTACTCCCCGGTCGAAGAGAAAGCAGTCGGCTTCTGCTTCTAAGGACGGTTGGTCGTCTAAAGCCAAAATGACAACAGCCTCAAGGGCTAAGTCTTCCACCAAGGCGGTCAAGGTCACGCCGAAAACTGCTTCGAAGCAGTATGAAGGAGAGCCATCCTAGCTGTCACCTTGTGGGGTCTCCAAGCCCGTGTATCTGCAAACTGAGGCGGTCCACGATGAGTCCGCCCATAAGGACGATGGGGGTAAGTCATCCCCGGCAAAAATGACCGGCAACTCGGCCTCGAGTCCGCATGTCGAGGTAGTATATAATTCTGAGTGGCAGAAAGCTGCTTCATTGTCGGTCGGAGATCAACGCGACCGCACACAAGAGGAAGGGGATGAACCAATGCCCCCTCCTTCATTCAACCTTCCATCTCCTCCATCTTTCTCAGACGGTATGTTGAACATTCGTACGACCTTTACTTGTGTTTTTATGAACTTGCTTGTTCATTCTAACACTTTTCCTTACTTTGTGCAAACATTGCCGAGAAGATGCACATGAAGCTACCCGACCAGTTACTCACAGGCGCTGACCAAAAATCTATTAAGGAGGCTATGCAGCGAGCCGTCCCTAAGTAGCAGCAGGATAAATTCTGCGGCATTAGTGAGGGATTTATTGGCCCAATGATCAACTGCAGCGCCGAGGTAACGTTTCTTAACAGCACTTGGCTTATTTTTTCTTTCATACTTAGATGATGAGGAGTAGCAGAAGCCGACCGAGGAGGTGCCTACCGAAGCTGCGACCGGCGATGGGAAGCCGACCAAGGAGGAGCCTGCCAAAGATGATAAGCCAGCTAAATGAAGAGCTCAATCCTCCAGCTAGCTGCTGTTTCTAAAGCTTTTTGTACTTTAGTTTTATTTCCTTGTTTTCGAGCAATCTTATCTCTGGCCGCCTGTTTTGAGCGATATTGTAATATACACTCTTTTTGTTTTTGTCGTCTGTTTTAAAAGGCTTTAATTTATGAAACTTTCTTCTTTCATTCATACTTAGCAGTTTTTCATGCCTTATTTTTCTGCTTATGCGTACGAATGCTTTTGTTTACAAATGCTTTTACTAGGGGTATGTTCCCTTTATTCGGCATTGCGCCTAGTCCATACTCAAGAAGGTTCGATTAACTTAGTAGATTTTAAACCTTAAAGGGTATGACGACTAGTAAGTTAATCAAATCATAATAATGACTGCCCTTGGACTAGGTGAATGTCGAACCAACAATTTTAGTTAGTCGGCTGCTTTATTGGCTTGTGCTGAACTGTCCTTTGATACTATCACTCGAACGCACTCATGAAATTTCAAGTATTATCTCAACTTGATTATTAGTGTTTATTAGGCTCGGACGCCTAGGTATGCCCCTGCCTTTTAGGTAAAAATACCTTAGGCAATTTTCGGGTTACCTTATGTTTCATCTGCCCAACTGTTCTAGGGCCGAGTTGCTTGGCAGGGAGATGCCCTTGCTAGGTGTTTAACTCAGCCACCTGATCATGCCTTTTTTAGAGGCAGGCTGCTATGTAGCAAGAAGCTTCGTTTCTCTTTTTAGGCGGCATTGCTTTTTCATCTCTACCCTTGTAGACACCTGATTGTGTCTGCCCAAAATCAAACTCAGTGATGAGTACCTTTCACGTTTTGATTAATGAGTTCGGTGAAGAGTTGAAGAGTCTCGTGAAGTTCCCTTAAGCCTTGACTACAGTCCTAATCTTACCTAAAATGTTTTTATCCAAAATCATTTATTTCATGTCTTAAAACCCAAAATCATTCATTTCGTGTCTTTCAAAATCATTCATTTCGTGTCCAATTTATAAAAACGTCCAAAACAGTTTATTTAGGTCCATAATCCTGGTCTAGTTATTGTTTATGTGGATGGGATTTGAAAAGATCTTTCCAACGATACATTATAAGCACAAATCTGAGTTATAACGAAGAAGTTATGGCCAAAATACTAAACCAAGCCCAAACCAAACCTAATATACGACCCAATGACCGTGTGGAGGGTATATTAACCTTAACCTCATTGCTAAACCAATTAGGATTTATTATTTAGCTTCTAGAATTTTCTAGAAGGTTCTAATTTATCCAGTTTTTGAAAAGATAAAGACTTAAGAATTTTACATCGGATAAAACACTTGTTTTTCAATGATTTTAATTCTGATAAAATTAGAATACGTACGGAAATTCGATTAACCCAATTTGATTGGAAGTCGGATTCCGTACGGATTCTATCATTGAAACCATCGTTGAGTGATAAGCCTGTCGCGCCGCGATGAAACCTGTTTTACTCCGAGTCAAATTCCGACTCTTTTTCTGAACTTCAACCCTCCTTTTTCCTAATAAATAGAGGTCATATCACCTCGTTTTTATTCACCAACAACCATCATCTAATCCCCTCTTTAAGCTAAAAGCTTTTCTCTCTCTCTCTTCTTTCTTGATTTCTAGCCTTAGCCTAAACACATCCCAACACCTTCTTGATATTCTTTTTAACAAACACCATACCTCTTTCACGAGGCTTGAATACTCATAGTCAATCTCGAAGTTTCCTTCGACCTCGAAGTGAAAGGTTGATAGTTCTAAGGGTTTGGTCCCTATATTTTAATTCTTATTTGATTATTTGGTTTATTTGTTTAATCTTTCTTGAAATTACTAACGTGTGTGTTGTTTTGATAGAAAGAGATACGAGGCATCAAACTAAGTAATTCGATTACTTAATCATTCCTTTGATATAGAAATCTTGTTTAAGATATTATATTAATTTGTAGTATCATGTTAGGATGTTGATTTTGATTTCTAGTATCATGTTTAGGCAAAGATTTGATTATGACTATTATTAGTGACATGCTAGGATTTGTTATTAATCCGTTTAGTATCATGCCTAGGATCTTGCTATTAATGATATTTTGATGGTATTATTATGATGATGCTTGTTGTTTCAATTAGTATATTGCTTGATTATTCTTGATTGATTGTTATTGCTTGATCACGTCCTTTCTTGCAGGTTTAAAGGGAATTTATAACTGAAATGACACATAATAAGATAATTAATAATTTGATTCAGGCTAATATGTTTTTAATTCAAGTGATCGCCAATAAAAGATTTATTTGGCATTAATAATCAACCAACGTAGATTAAACAGGTTTAGGATTAATTTATTGTATGTAAAAACGCACATGAATATCATAAGAATTAAGTAGAAGCCAATTTAGGGCGGGTTCATCCCTTTTAGGTTGGATTCGTACCATCATCCCCGAATATCCAGTCATGATTCCAAACCACTATGGAGTATCCGTGATCATGAACGGTTTATAAGTTCCTAAAACTTATTAGCAACTCTTTTATCTCTAGCTTCCTTCCCTTTAGACGCCACCATGCTTAAATGCATGATCACAGTGGGGCTTAAGGTTGGATTTGAAAAATTCTCTACAGCCCTTGTCAGGGACCGAGCTGCTATGTTGCAAGCCACCCTTGTTTCTAATTTTAGGCGGCATTTCTACTCACCAATAAGTAAACTTATAAAGTAAATGGAAAAAATAACAATGTTTGACTTTTTCATTGATATCGTCAAAATTACATTATTTTTTGCCGTACGACTTTAATTACATTGCTCAGTCGTTTAGACCTAGTTGTATGTACAACTTTGGCTAAGTACAAACAATTTATACAAAATATTTTTTCAGATTGTCTGTATTCCACGTACGAGGAATAGGATGGCCATCCAAGGCTTCAAGACGGTATGTACCACCTCGGACTTCTTCTCTGATCCGGTAAGCCCCTTCCCAGTTTGGGGTTAACTTGTCATCCTCATTGGCCCAGCCTACCGCTTCCATCTTCCTTAAGAACAAGTCTCCAATCTTAAGCGGCTGCTTAGACACTTTACGATTATATGCCCTCATCATCCTTAGACAATAAATTTCGTGTCTAAGCAACGCATTGCCCCTAGCCTCTAGAAAGAAGTCTAGGGTGGTCTTCATGGCCACCCAATTGGCCGATTCATCATATAGCATCACTCGTAGAGTGGGCTCATACATCTTAATTGGGAGCACGACCTCAGTGCCATAGACCAAAAAAAATGGGGTCTCCGCTGTTGAACTTTTTGATGACGTACGAATGGACCATAGCACATTGACCAACTCATCATCCCATAGGCCGCCTGTTTTCTCAAGCTTGCACTTGATGCCATTGGAGATTAACTTGTTGTATGCTTCAACTTGGCCATTTTCCATTAAGTGTCCAACCGAGGAAAAACAATGTGTTATGCCCTGGTCACTTAACCAATCTTTAAGTTGGCCGGCCTCAAATTGAGGTCCATTGTCGAACACCATTGATTGTGTCACACCAAAGCGTGTGATAATGTTCTTCCGGATGAAGGCAAATACATCTCTCCATTTGATCCCTCGGACGGCCTCAGCTTCGACCCACTTTGTGAAGTAGTCAACAACTACTAAAACATATCGCCTCTATCCGGATGCTGGAGTATACAACCCCAAGATATCTATGCCCCATTTTACAAAGAGAAGTGGACTACTTATGGCCAATAAGCTATTTGTCGGGCGATGTATAAGGGTTGCAAATCTCTGGCACTTGTCACATTTTTTCACCATTTCCATGGCGTCTAAATTCATGCTCGGCCAATAATACCCCAGATGGGTAACCTTTTCAGCTAACGCTCGCCCGCCTATGTGTGATCCTTAATGACCTTGGTGGAGGTCGTCCAACACCTCATGCCCTCTCTCGGCCGTAATACATTTCAAGTAGGGCTTCACAAAGGATTTTTTGAATAAGTTCTCCCCCTTCATCTCAAACCATGCCTTCTTCTTCTTCATCAGCCAGCTCTCTTTAGGGTCATCCGGAAGAACTCCATCCTTAAGATAGGAGATAACTCCGTCCATCCATGTGGAGCTTCCATCAATGATTTTCACAGGCTCGGCATCGATACTCCTCTTTTCCTTTACTTCCCAGAACACAAATCTTGGAGTATTACATATGCCAAGGAAGCTAGCTTGGAGAGGGCGTCCACCTGATGATTCTCGGACCGGGGAACTAGCTTGCAGCGTGAAGTGCTCTAGGCTGTCGGCCTCATCCTTCACCATCTGAAGATACTTCATCATGGTCGGCTCCCTGGCCTCATAGTCACCATTCACTTGACTGACTATCAGCTGAGAGTCCGAGCTAGCATCAATTTTTGTTGCCTCGACTGCCTTACACATTCTAAGGCCGGCCAGAAGGACTTCATACTCAGCCTCATTATTAGAGGCTTGAAACTGAAATCTCAATGCATATATAAACTTTTCTCCTTCCGTAGATTGACATATGATACCAGCGCCACATCCGTTCGTTGTTGCACTTCCATCCACAAAAACTTTCCAGATCTGATCCTTTGCCGGTTGTAAGTCCGGCCGTGTCATTTTGGCTAAGAAATCTACTAAGGCTTGGCCCTTGATTGCTTTTCTAGGTTCGAATGTGATATCAAATCCACTCAACTCTAAGGCCCATTTAAGCATTCGGCCACTGGCCTCCAATGTTATGAACGGCTTCTTCAACTGTTGGTCCGTGTAGACCACAATCGAGCGAGCAAGAAAGTATGGTCTTAGCTTCTTTAATGCCATGAACAATGCCAAGCTGAACTTTTCAATGGGTGGATACCTAAGCTCGGCATTGTGCAGAATGTGGCTAATGAAATACACAGGGATTTGATGGTCGTCCCTTTCAGCTAGCAGGACAGAACTTAAGGAATGATTTGAAATTGCAAGATACATATATAGCTTCTCGTCTTTGAGTGGACTGACAAGCCGAGGAAGGGTACGCAAATAATTTTTCAACTGTACGAAGGCTTCCTCAGCCTCTTCTGTCCACTCAAACATTGCTTTTTTGTTGATAGTCTAGAAAAAATAACGGCACTTATCCCCTGATCTTGACATAAATCGTCCAGTGCAGCTAAACAGTCGGTCAGTCTTTGAACTTCTTTTATGGTTCTGGTCGATTTCATGTCTAAGACTGCATGGATTTTCTTAGGGTTAGCCTCAATGCCGCGCTGATCAATTAAAAATCCAAGAAATTTGCCGGACTTAACACCAAAGACACGCTTCTTTGGATTTAACATCATCTTATGACGCCTGAGTTCAGTAAATGTTTCTCAGAGGTCCTTCAGATTGTCGGGCGGCATCTATGATTTAACAATCATATCATCAATATAAGTATCATCAATATAAGCTTCCATGTTCCGGCCGATCTGATCTCTGAAGACCGTATTCACAAGTCTCTGAAATGTAGCAGGGGCATTCTTTGGGCCGAATGTCATAACCTTGTAGCAATATAGCCCCTGCTCGGTCACAAACGCTGTTTCCTCTTGATCTTCTTCCCACAAAGGAATCTGGTGGAATCCGGAGTATGCGTCCATAAAGCTCATCAGGGCATACCCGGCTGTTAAATCAACCAGACGGTCAATTTTAGGTAAGGGAAAGCTATCCTTAGGGCATGCCTTGTTGAGATCGGTGTAGTCTACGCACATTCTCCAAGTTCCATTTGGCTTCTTCACAAGAACTACATTTGCTACCTAATCAGGATAGTGACATTGCCGAATGAAACCGGCGTCTAGCGGCTTTTTGAGTTCAGCTGCGGCCGCCTGATTCCTTTCATCACCATGGTTTCTCTTTTTCTGCCGAACAAGCTTCACAGCCAGCTTGTGAACAGCTAAGTCTGGGTTGATACCTGACATCTCATGAACTTCGAAAAGAAAACACATCTCTGAATTCTCTTAACAAATTCACCAGGTCATTTCCAAGCAAGCCCATGCCCATAGTTCCCACTCTAACCGTCCGATCAGGTTGGTCTGGGTCAAGCATTATGTCCGTATGATCGCTGGCCGGCTGTGGCCTCAACTCTTCTAGTCGGCCGACGGTCATTAGCTGATATCCTTGTTCTTTCTTGATCGACTTGCGCTTCTGGCCGACCTGGTATGCTTGCAGTGACCCTTCTTCGGAATTTCGCTCGGACGCTTTCCCATATTCGCTCGTCGTTGGCTTCACGGCCAACTGATTACATTCTTTTGCTAATTTTGGATTTCCCTGAATGGAACCTATCTTTTCGTCCCACCGCTCAAACTTCATCAGCATTAGATGAGGGATAATTACTGCCTTAGCTGATGCCAAAGTTGGGCGGCCAATGATAACATTGTAGTCCGTAGGCTCTTTAACAACTAGGAAGCGGATGACCATGTCCCTTCCTTCTCCCTTTTCCCCAAATCAGACGGGCAGGTCTATCCGTCCGACCAGGTGAATGATACTCCCACCGAACTCAACCAACGGGCGGGAGATATCTTTCAGGGCGTCCTCTAGAAATTCAAAATCTTCAGACAAGCTAAACTGATTATGTCGAACGAGCTACCTGTGTCTATTAGCACTCGTCTAACCTTCAAATTGGCGACTTTCAAGATGAACACCATGGGGTCATTGTGAGAGGCTTTGATATTGCCTCGGTCCGTCTCGCAGACCGTCACTTCAGGAAAAGGCTCGGCCTTTACCCCTTCAATGTGCTTTACATTTTCAAAATTCAAAGCATCCTACTTGATTCCCTTCATGGTAGGGCCTCCTGCAGCAAAGCCGCCTGATATGACGGCCACAAATCCTGAGTCTGTATTGTTTCCATCATCATCTTTTTCTTTGTTTTTCTTCTTCTCGGATTTGTTATCTGTCCGAGAGTAGGTGAACTTCGACTTTAGAACGTACGAGTTGAGCATGCCTTTCTCGGCCAACTTATCCAGCAACCTCTTCGAATTGTTGCAGTCGTTCGTGTCATACCCCACATCTTTGTGGTAATGACAGTACTTGTTCCTGTTTCTGTACTGGGCCGGCCCTCTCAAAGGCTGAGGCTTCTCGAACTCGATCTTGTCTTTGTTTCCATCAAAATTGAATAACAATCCTTGTTGTACTCGAACTGAGGCTCGTACTTCTTGGCTTTCTTTGATTTTGTCTGTTGGTAGTCGGCCACCCAAACTTCTTTTCTTTTGTTGCTTCCTTCCTTCCTTTTGTTGGCAGTCGAACTGAGTCTTGCTGAGAAGATTGTTTCTTCTCATCCCCCTTGGCTGGCTCTTCTGATTTTGTAAGAGAACAAAAATCAGTTGCCTCAATATATAATTTGTCCTCCCGCAGAACACCTGCATATGTCCGAATCTTTTTCCTAACCAAATCAAACTTGAAACCATTATGCCTTAAACCTCAAAGGAACTCCGAGTAGGCCATTTCATCCGGCAGATTCTGGATTTGAGCTTTCAACGGATTGAACCTCTGGACGTACGAGCGCAACCCCTCTTTCTTTCCTTAGACGATGGTCGCCAAGATAAAGCTAGTCTTCCGGGGGGTATATTTTAGGAGAAGTTACAATAGAGGTAGTATATTTTAACATGTATGTATATAAGTGGGTACCCGATACCGGAACCGGTACCCGGTGGTTCCAATTCCAATTCCTATATTTTAGGACTCAATTCCAACAAATTTCGAGTCCGGTTCCTAACATTTTGACCGGACACCCAGTTTGCTCACCCCCTAAACCACATATAAGAATTTGTGATAAATAAGAGTTTACATTAGATGAGTCAAAGTGAGGTGATAAGAATTTAACTAATTTTTTATTACCACACTTATAAGAGTTTTTATTTTTTATTTTTAATTCTTTTAGATAATAATTGCCTTTTAAGTCATGATGTCAAATTTTCTTTATGACCAAAATTTACAAACAAAAGTAATAACGTGGGTGATTAGGGGATTTTGCTCCCACCAATCGGAATGCGCCAAGTGGACCAATCAGGTCCTGCCAAGTGTCTCCTAGTTGGAACTGTCAGGACTTGCCACGTGGCACGCGCTTATTCGTCCACCTTGGACCTGTTATGTCACGACATGTGGCATACTCCATGCCTAATGGAGAACCCGGCCACCCAGGCCCAACTTCCGAGGGAAGCCCAATCAGCCCTAGGTTTACCTAAACCTAGGATGGACACGTTTCCCAAGGTTATAAATACCTCACTTAATCCTCATTAAGGGGACACGCGAAAAACATTACGGAACACACTAATAACCGGCTGATCTCGCTAACAAAGCAGATTACCTACATTAAACACTCTCACCTAGAGAGAACTTATTACTTTAATTTCCGCATTAATGACTCCTTAATCAGGTACTAACTTGACCGTTGGAGGCGGAGCTCACAGGAGTCTCCGTTATTTTGCAGGTACAGGCGTCCGGTTCAAGCCTCGGAATTGTAACTCTCCCGCAGGACATCAGAAAACCCCGAAACATTTGGCGCCGTCTGTGGGGAGAGTACTTCAGAGATGGCATCCAAGTCTGTACCGACTCCTGAAGAGAGGCGTCCCCTAGACGACCCTCAAGTTCAGTCGGACCATGACACCGAAAGTGAATTTGAAGTTGAAACTCATACAGCTTCAGACGGGACCCTAAGGGCCCGACGTACCCGTCATACCGAAAGGAGGGAACGGGAGCATCTTCAAACAGGAAGCGAGCCAGCAGTCGCACCGCTTGTTCGGCAACAGCCGACTGATGGGTCTGCTCCCATCACAAGGAACGAACTCATGATCTTCATGAGGGACTTCAAGGGAGAGATTCAAGAGTTGATCAACAAGAAGTCGACTGCTCCAGTCAAGGAGCAGTCGGCCAAGAAACCCTCCACTTCACTGAAGAGGAAACCAGTTCAAGGGCGAGAGGCGACTCCTCATCCTAAATCTAGGAAGCGGGAGCCACCTGCCCTTGATTTCACAAAATTCCGTTATCCTACAGGAAATAGGAAACCGGTTCGTCATATTCAGGCGGACGGGTCGAAGCAAACATTCACAGATGATCGGCTACTGCTAGAGCAGAAAAAGAGTGACCGATTGTCAGAGTCGGCTTCTACTTCAAACTTTCAAGACAGTTTGCGAAATGCCTCGATGAGGCATACTCAGTCGTACCATGAGAGTCAGTCAGGCGGCACCTCCCGTCAGTCCGGCTTTCATAGTGCCCAGGCGGTACCAAACTTACCATTTGTGCCGCAACAACAGTATTTTATGCAGCCACCTCCATTTGGTGGACCTACAGCAAAAAACGTCCAACCTATGGACTGGCAGCTACGGTTGCTTAGACTTGGTGAACAGCTGTCGGCCTTGTCCAAGGAAATTACTGAAGCCGCTCAGCCGGCCAAAGTGAAAAATGTACTAGTAGGCGCCTATGACGACACTACTAACCCAGAAGACCATCTGATGGCATTCACCAACCTGATGTACCTTCAAGGGTTGGATGATCCCACCTGGTGCAAGTGTTTCCCAGCGACTCTCAAAGGAATCGCACAGCGATGGTTCGGCAACCTGCCGACTGGTTGTGTTAATAGCTTCAGGACGCTTGCTTACTTATTTGCCTCCAACTTCGCCATGAACATCCCTGCAAAGAAAACGACCCTTGATTTGGGAACAATTCAGCAGGGCGAGAAGGAGGGGCTTCGTTCTTACATCAGGCGGTTTAACCTGATGAGAATACAGATTCAAGGGTTACCGGATGAGGTAGCTTATACCGAATTTTTTAGAGGTCTCAAAGACGGGTCTACCTTCAAATTTGATTTGGTTCGAAAAAGGGTGGCGACTCTTCAAGAGGCCTTGATTGAAGCAGAAGCCTATATACAGGCGACTGATCTTTGTACGATAAAACAGTCGGACGGGAAAAGGTTCGACAAAAGAGAAGGACGACGGAAACAGTCGTCAAACAAAGATGAGAAAAGAAAAGAGGTCTGGGCGGCTGATTCCTCTAAACAGCCGGCCCAGAAAAAGAAAAAAGAATTCAAACCATACTCCCCAAAGTATGCGTTTAACAAGGATAACCAGTTT